GTAATCGCCTCCTTTAAATGAAAGGCACATTAGTAATGAGTACAGCATTAAGATTAAGATCGCATTAAGATTGAAGTGAAAGTGTTCTACGACGCTGTCCACACCAAATCGGACTATCAAAACGATCATATTGGACAATGATCCTTGGTGCGTTACGGTTCCTCGCCATATGCGGGTGGGTCTGGAATCACTACTCACACTCTTAGTTCGCTCGCTCTTAACTGAGAAGCGCATGCGACCCTCCTAATTGCCGGTTCATCCCCATTAACTCGGATCTAGCCAATATTGCCGCCGCGTGCTGGTCTCGACAGAACAGGCGTTGTTCGCGGGTAGAGAAACCAATGCTTTTGGCATGCCACTGTTTTAGGCGATGATTTCGTGCCTTACAATCCTGATAAATGCTTCTGCAACAGCGGCGGGCAATTGATGTGGGCCCATTCTTGGCTGTTGCAAGAAGTAGCGATCACATGGGCCATTATCTTGCGCGGCCGAGCCCATTTGACTTCAGATTGAAGCGTACTGCAGGCTGTATGAAACTCATTATATTATGAACGACTGAAAGAGCACGCCTCATTATGCTCACACAGTTTCACCCAGTTCCAGTCTCATCAATATTAGCTTATCTGGTGAAAGTCTACTTTGGGGGACCACTCCATTGCTATCTTATCCGTAGTACTAGAGAGCAGTTCTTTGGGCTATCGAACACTACGGATAAGATAATAAGTGAACGACTCATTTCGAGCGTACTTTTGATAAGGACCGGTGGATGTCCTACATTCCACACTACCTGCCCACATCCTATCCACTTTTCTGCACAGGTCATCCACCCTGGAGTGGAGCTCCTCCGTTTGCCTATCTCGACCTTATGCACACCAGTGTATGTGGACTGGTCGAGAGTGGCTCATTGGGTGTTTATAGATTGGAGTTCTCATCACAGTGAGGACGTCATGAAACATAGATCTTGCTAGGCCTCCAATCTCGAAATTTCAGTCATGGTAAGGGTCATTTTACATCCTTTTTTCTCTCATCAACAGTTTTCTTGACGACAGCCAGGACCTCCCTTTCCTGCGTAAGCTTCAAGCACTTTTATGTGTTCTTCCACTTGTGGCAGCAAGATCTCGTGAAGAGGATGCGTATGCCCCAAAAAAGATGTTTTGTACAGTAGAGGTGCCATACTGCAATCAAGACATACAGAATGATATCAGAAAGTAATCGCTCTTCATTAGTTCATCGAAAGTCTTGATAAGTCGTAGGAAAGAGCACTACCCTTGCGAATACTTATTATCATGGTATGGACTGTCTTCGAATCCTAGGCAGAACTTCGGGGAAAGCTGTTCTTGAAGCGAGAGATTACGATAAAGTGTGTGAGCAAGCATGGTAGTAAACATACCAGTGGAAGCAGTAG